GTATTGTATTGTGTTTTTATGGAAGTAAATGTATGCTGTTTAAAAACCTCGCGATTGCTGAGCAAGAAAACGACACATTCTTGACATCATTAAAATCGACTTCTAGGTGCTTTTTGGTCCACAAATAATCCGTATTTTCAAAACAAACAGAACTTATTTGTACTTTTATGTTCATTTCCTCCATTGGTTTTTCTAAATTCAAGCAAATGCAGTCGTTGTTCATGTCTACTGCATGATCACTTCAAACTTTACGCGTGACAGTCATGGTAAAAAGCCATTGAGTGGAAGTTTCAACGAGCATGAGGTGATATTACCTTCGCTTGATTGTATCAAGGAGAATCAAGTTACTTCTGAATGTAGTCTGGAGGTCTGCCTCTGTGGGGGTAGAATGAATGAACAGCCTTACTGAATCAATCAACAGCCGAATTTCCGATTTCACATCTTCGAGATCCAGGAGGTTTCACTCCGAAATCGCCTATGTTATTCCATGAAAAACGATGGTTTCGATTTTCGTCAAGACGATGTACGATACAGTTTTGTTTTGTTCCGGTCTTGTTGGATTGTTATTGTTACAGCTGTTGACGGTGCTTGGGGACTGTGGAATGCATGGAGTTCATGTCCTGAACAATGTGGTTTCGCACTTCAAACACGATTTCGTGTATGTGATAATCCACCACCGTCACCGAATGGACAAATTTGCCGTGGATTAGCTCATCAGACAACTGTTTGCGGCACTGAGTTTTGTAACGGTTTGCACTTTATGTTCTATGCACCATATTCATTCTTTTTATTTCATACGCATACCCTTATTATGTTTTTTTTGTCTTACATAAAATCTAGTTTCGGGTAAACATGATGACTCCTTTAAGTGCATGTCTCTACGTTCGTTATTCGATAACACAGCATGTTCTTACCTTTTATTTGTTGAATAAACCAGGCGAAAATAACTGTAATTAAATCAACCTGTGTTGACGTAATCTGGTGCCGTTCTAGTGAACATTACAGAAGAACTGGATGATGAGTGGTCTGCATGGAATGAATGGTCTCCTTGTATGGGCAATTGCGGGTTAGGATCGAGAACAAGGTAAATGTCATTTGGTGTACAACATATCGCTGAAATGACACCATAAAAATTAACCCCTCTGGGGTCATCAATTTAGTGCTCGACGTTGTAGAAACACTAGCCTAACAGATAGGTAGACCCACGTAACTGATTGTATTGGTTCAATATATATTTAATCACTTCAAGCATGGTCACCAGAGTCAAATACATTGTATATCCTTAAGGAATTGATCAAAGCTTGGCGCTTTATCCTAGATCCTCGTATAGTTTTTGTTAGCACCAAATATACTATTTGTTTTTCCTTCTTTTTCCTAAATTATACACTTTTAAGCTTACCTATTCTATATTTGTCGAGTCGAGAACATCAAGCAGCGACGGCAATACGATGCAGTTGAATACTGACTTGGACACTTGGATGGCCCGTCTTTATTGGTTGTGCGGGTCCCACCGCCCTTGTTAATTGGAAGGAAATTTCGCACTATGCCACTAGTTTAGTACTAGGACGGTGACGGTTCCTGGTATTACTCTTAGCTGGTCTTCCTGATGGAAACGCCGGACTCCTCAGTTCGGAGACCCTGCCGGGAGGATGAATCCCCCCGCTGTAGATCGCAGCCCGGCACCCAGGAAAACCTTCCAGCCACGATAAGACGAGAATTCAGTTGAATAGTAGTGTGTATTAGTCCGCAATGCCATACTTCTACGAATTTTCTTCTCATGTTTTTTTTTCTTCCATAAATAAACCAGCTTTTTGTCTTTCACATGACTAGAGATGCACTTAACGACTATCGTGATTAGAGTTTTTTAAGAATCCGTGCATGCGTCTCTCCGCCACCAACATCCGGTGGAGTGTGGTGCTTCGGTAAATCATTTGAAATCGAAGAATGTCGCACGGAAAACAGTCTATGTAGTCAGTTTCTTCACCATGCTGATACTATTGATGCCGAAATATTAAAAGCACTTCATTAAATATCTCCTATACTGCTGTAATATATATATATATATATATATATGTATATGTATGTATATATACGTGTGTATACCTATGCAGACATATATGCTTATATATATATATATATATATATATATATATATATATATATATATATAT